CCCTCTGGCTATCTGCAGCACTGATCAGCAATGAGCTAAATCCATGTTCACTAAGGTGAAAAGTTTCACACAATGACAGCGTTGCCGTATGAGACATGTCTGCTTTCCTTCACATAAATTCAAGGAAATGGATTGATGGTTTGCATCCAGAACAGGATTTATTTCTGGGGAGAAGGGTAGAAAGGAGTTTTTAATTCTTAAGATGTTTCTTAGAGGGCGTGCTTGTCCATGAACAGGAGGGAAAACGATTCAGCTGCCATTCAGTTTTTCTGTTCCTTCTCTCCCTCTGCTCCCCTTCACCATCTCCCATTTCATCTACTTTTCCCCTACTGTATGAAACTCAAGTTTAAATCACATGATGGGGCATGTGAGCACAGTGTGATGGCCTTCACTCAACTTAGGAAAAAGTTAAGATGTGAATGGCCCAGTTGGAGGTGAAACCTGGGATTGGCAGTGGGAGGAGCCTTCTGGGTCTTTATATCCCCCTTTAAGCAAGGGATGGCCTTGTAAGTGCCCCTGGGTCTTTAAAAAAATATGTATATGAATGCTCTACCTGCATGTGTGCCTTCATGTCGGAAGAGGGCATCAGATCCCACTACAGATGGTTGTGAGTCACCGCATGGTTCCTGGGAATTGAACTTAAGACCTCTGGAAGAACGGTCAGTGCTCAGAAACACTGAGTCATCTCTCTAGCCTACCCCTGGGTCTTTAAATGGCTTCACTAGAAGTGAGAAGCGGTGCTCATAGATAGCATCAGCAGGAATTTGTGTGTATGCAGCAGGTAAGGTAAACCCCATTCTGCCTGCCTTAGTCTTCTTTATTTCCCCCAGGCCTTGGGGATTGAACCCAGGGCCTCATGCATGCTAGGCTAGTACTGTATCACTGAGCTATAGCCCTAGCCCTGACTTCTTTTTAAACATCATTTTTGGGATGTTACCAGTGTGGTTTCTGAGGTCTGGGGGAGAGCCCCTCTGCCTAGCTGTCTTCATCCGAGTTCGGGTGCCCATACGGTTCCTGTGAGCCTCCCTCACTTTCTGGATTAGCCAACAGGGGTGGTCACATCTGTCTTTTGAAAACCCCCTTGTCTTTGTTTTTGAGTTTTCATCTTTACTTACTGCGCTGTCTAGTTGTGGGTTTTTGTCAACTTGAAAAAAGCTGGAGTCGTTTGGGAGGTGGGACTCTCAGTTGAGAAAATGTCTTCATGAGACTGGCCTGTAGGCAAATCTGTAGGGCATTTGCTTCATTACTGATTGATGGAGAAGGCCCAGCCCATTGTGGGTGGGGCCACCCCTTGGGCTGGTGGTCCTGGGTGGTCTAAGAAAACAGGTAATGGGTGAGCGAGGCAGTAAGCAGTATGTAGAGATCAGAGGACAACTGAAGGAGTTGGTTCTCCCCTTCCTCCTGGTGGGTCCCAGGAACTGAACTCTCATCATCGGGTTTAGTGGCAAGTGCATCTTGCCAGCCTTGCTCTTTGGATTTTTAAATTTTGAGACAGGGTCTCACTAAGTTGCCCAGACTGGCTTTTAATTCAAGCTGTAGCTTAGGAAGGCCTTGACCTTGGGATCCTCCTGCCTCACCTCCAGAGTAGCTGAGATTACAGGCATGAGCAACCAGGTCTGGTTCTTTCTACTTTTTAAAGGTTTATTTTTGCCGGGCAGTGGTGGCTGTCTTAGTTAAGGTTTTTATTGCTGTGAAGAGATACCGTGACTATGGCAACTCTTAAAAAGAAAAAATTTAATTGGGGTGGCTCCCTTATAATTTTAGAGGTTCAGTTCATTATCTCATGATGGGGAGCATGGCTGCATGCAGGCAGATGTGGTGCTGGAGTAGCTGATGGTCCTACATCTTGCAGGCAACAGGAAGTCGACTGTCACACTGGGTGTATCCTGAGCATAGGAAACCTCAATGCCCACCCCTACAGTGACACACTTCCTCCAGCAAGGCCATACCCACTCCAACAAAGCCACACCTCCTAACAGTGCCACTCCCTATGAGATTATGGGGGCCAATTAAATTCAAATTACCACAGTGGTGCACACCTTTCATCCCAGCATTTGGGAGACAGAGGCAGGTGGATCTTTGTGAGTTCAAGCCCAGCCTGATCTACAAAGCAAGTTCCAGGACAGCCAAGGCTATTACACAGAGAAACCCTGCCTCAAAAAACATACAAACAAAGATATTTATTTTATTACTAGTTTTTGAAGATTTACTTGTTCTGTATCATGTGTGTGACTGTTTTGTTTCTGTGTGTACACCACATACATGTCTAGTGTTTGAGGAGGCCAGAAAACAGTGTTGGATTGTCTGGAACTGGAGTTATAGATGGTTGTGAACTGTCACGTGACTTTGGGGAACTGAACTTGGATCCTCTGTAAAAGAAGCAAGTGCTCTTACCCACTGCGCCATCTCTCTGGCCTTCTTTTTTTTTAAGTGTGTGTGTGTGTGTGTGTGTGTGTGTGTGAGAGAGAGAGAGAGAGAGAGAGAGAGAGAGAGAGAGAGAACAGTGCCTTCTGAGGTCATGAGGCATGGTGTTCCCTAGAGCTGGAGTTATAGGTGGCTGTAAGAGCCACCTGATGAGGGTGCTGTGAACCCTGGTCTCTGCAGGAGCAACATGTGTTCCATGTGCTCTTAACTACCGAGTCACTTGTTTTGTTTTTTAAAGCCTTTTTTTTTTTCTCTGCATGCCTCCCACCTCACCTCCAGGGCTAAAGCCCATTTAGACTTAGATGTTATCTTTATATTCTGCATGCACAGGCCTGGACCAAGAGCTTCTCATTCAGCAACTGGAGATGATACTTAGGAGGTTGAATGTCAGGCTGGAGAGATGGCTCAGCAATTGAGAGCACTGGCTGCTCTTCCAGAGAACCTGGTTCAGTTCCCAGCACCCACGTGACAGCTGACAACTATGTAGCTCCAGTTCCAGGGGATCCAATACCCTCACACAGACATGTGTTCAGACAAAACACCAATACACATGAAATAAAAATACATTTTAAAAAGAGAGAGAGAAAGAAAGCTGAATGTCCCTACCATTGCATACCTTCTAGAATGTCCTTACTTTAAAAATGAACAATAGGGTATAATGTACAGTTTTGGCGAGGACTAGAACCCTTGTACACTGTTGGTGAGATTGTAAAACAAAGTGAAAAGCCTGCTATTGAATGGAGAATTGTCAAGTCACCAGTGCCAAATCTGGTCCTGCTCCTATAAGAAATATCTTAAAGCTAGTTGTTTATAATATCAGAAGGTTCTCACAGTTCTGAAGGCTGTAGACACAAGACAGAGGAGCCAGCCAATTGTTTTCTGGTGAGAGCATTGTCTCTCAGCTACGGCCTCCTGCCCTTTTCTTTCTGTCTCCCCATCCTCCAGCTCCCCTTCTTCCTCCTTTTTTTTTGGGGGGGGGGGCGTCGGGGTAGTGGTGATGATGGTGGTGGTGATGGTGGTGATTCTGTTGAAGCCAGGGCCTCACAAATGCCAGACAGACATCTTACTAACAGATCTAGTCCCAGCTCTTAAAACTTAAGAGTGAGGTTGTAGAACTGTACTTTACAGTATGTTTTTTGAGTATAAGAGATGTGACTATCCCAAACTGAGACTTGCTATATGTGCGAAATTTACGCTGAGTTTAAAAGTCTTGGTATGAATCAAAGAATGTACAATATCTTACCAATATTTTTACTAATATTTTTCTTTTATTGTTTTTTATTAAGATTTATTTATTTTTATTTTATATGTGTGGGTGTTTTTGCCTGCTTGTCTGTCTGTGCACCATATGCTTGCATTGCTTGTGGAGGCCAGGAGAGGGCATCGGATCCCCTGGAACTGAGTGAAGATTGTGAACTATCACATGGGTTCTGGGAATCCAACCCAGGTCGTCTGGAAGAGCGGCCTGTGCTCTTAATTGCTAAGCCATCTCTCCAGCCCCTGGTTTGTTTATTTATTTACTTATCGTTTGCATAAATTCAACTAATCAAATTCATAGTCCTCCAGTCTCAGCTCCCCAAGAAGTTGGGATATGGGTTCAAGCTACCTTGCTAGACTAATGATATTTTAATAGTGGTTGCATATTATTCAGACAATAATATGTATACTATATTACATTAGGTAAAACATCATTAATTTTTAAAACAGTTGAGTGCTTTCTGGAGACATAATAGGTTTAAGTAAAAATAAAATTTGCAAGTTAAAAGACATTTTTCTTTCTCTCTTTCCTTCTCTCTTTCTTTCCTTCCTTCCTTCCTTCCTTCCTTCCTTCCTTCCTTCCTTCCTTCCTTCCTTCCTTCTCTCCTTCCCTCCCTCCCTCCCTCCCTCCCTCCCTCCCTCCCTTCCTTCCTTTCTTTCTTTGGAATACAGGTGGGGGCCAAGGTGGGAGGTGGTGTGGTGGGGTGCAGAGTTTCATGTTGCCCAGGCTCATTATGTGGCTGACTGTCCTTGAACTCCGGATCTTCCTGCCTCAGACTGAGTGCTGCACCACCATGCCCAGCCAAGCAATCATATTTTAGAGCTGGGAAGAAGCATACAAACTTGATTTTCTTCTAAGAAGAGGTTTTGATTACTATGCCAAAACAGCGCAACTAAGAGTCACTATAGAGAGAGTGCTTTCCTCCTGCAGAAAGCAAGAGTTATTGGCTCTTTGAATCAGGCGAGGAGTTTGGGAACTTTTCACAGATCAAGTGTTCATGTGCTTCTCCCTCCCGATGCTGTGTATTGACCCCAGGGTTTGATGCTAGGCTGAGGCTCTGCCACTGAGCTACACCTCTAGCCTGATGGTGCTGCTCACAGTGGCTCCTATGATCAAAAGAGACAACAAGGAACCCCCTACATGGGCTTTAAGATGCTCTGTGCTTTACCCTCACTGTGGTGTCTTCAATTTTAAAAAGTGTAGAACTTAAACAAGATGCATGGCCACATTCACCCCGGCTTGCAAAGGACATACTTGGAACAAGCGTTCTTTATGCTCTTACTTAATACTCATCTTTTCATGTTGCCCTCCCTTCCAGATCAGCAACGTCTTGTTTTTCATTTTACCGCCCATCTGCATGTGCCTGTTCCGCCAATATGCGACGTGTTTCAACAGCGGCATCTACTTAATATGGACTCTCCTAGTTGTAGTGGGTAAGTGGAGTCATGTGGGAACGGGGACTGAAAGGGAGGAAGTGGGACCCTGAACGTTTCCTGTCCCCTTTGAACATAATGTTTTGTAAACCAAAGTCACTCTGACGTCTTAGCTGTTGTTCCCCTGATGCCAAAAGGACTCTTGAGTGCCGACTTGATAACAGATCTGCCTCTAACTCTCACAGACCGGCACTCAGAGTCTGTGGGCAGCCACTGGTGGTGTGCCAGCGTGGTTTTCTGAGGACCTCTGAAACAATTGAAATCTGATGAGATTGTGGTTCCAAAGGACTTAAAGAAAAATATTTAGACGTTTGTTCCCTCATTGTTCTGTGAAATACTTGTGTGATTTCCATTTCCTCTCCGGCAGTTTGGGAATTCTTAACAGGGAGATAGTGTTGACTTTTATTTACTGCCTGTTATTGTGAAGGTTCAGAGGATGGAGCCTGAGTGTGCTTAGAATTCTTACTGTTGTGATGTGCTGATGTCTGAAGCGGTGGGCCTGTGTGAGTCTGCTCCCCATTCTTTTTTGATTGTGATTGTTTCTAGGAATCGGATCTGTCTACTTCCATGCAACTCTCAGTTTCCTGGGTCAGATGCTCGATGAACTTGCCATCCTTTGGGTTCTGATGTGTGCTCTGGCCATGTGGTTTCCCCGGAGGTATTTACCAAAGATCTTTCGGAATGACAGGTAAGCTTGTGCTAAAAACTTTTGCTACCTGTGGTTGCCAATGTAGCACACTCATCAAGTTAGCAGTATAACACACTCATCAATTTAGCAATGTAACAAATTCATCAAGTTAGCAGTGTAACACACTTATCAAGTTAGCAGTGTAACACACTTATCAAGTTAGCAGTGTAACACACTTATCAAGTTAGCAGTGTAACACACTCATGAAGCAAATTACTGCATGAGTGAGCTCAGCTAGCTTCCTTATTGTCCTCCCAGTTTAATGATCTGACAGTACAGTTGACTGTCTGATAAAAGGAGAGAAAATGAGCTTACAGATAAAAGGAGAAAAGTTGGGGGAAGAACTTATATTATGGTATGGGCAAAAAGTCAGAGATCTGATTTGTGTGATATGAGCAAGAGCGAAAACACTTTCAATGGAAGAGAAATTTTTGGAAGGTATTTCAAAGTCCTTTGGTTTCTTGCTAGAATATGTCCTCAAGTGCAGACCAATCCATCAGTTTCATACACATGAAGGAGGGTTTGTGCTGATGGTTTTGTTCTTGGAGGTACAGAGCTAGTTATAGGTTGTATCATATTACATATTGGGTTTTTTTCTTCTTATAATGCATACAGATACACACTACTGTACACTCTGTGTGTGTGTGTGTGAGAGACAGAGAGAGAGAGACAGAGAGAGAGAGAGAGACAGACAGACAGAGACAGACAGACAGACAGACAGACAGACTTAGGTGTAGACGGAAATTTCTCTGGTCCTGCCTTGCCTAGCAGTCTGGACAAATCTCTCCCACCCGTGGTTCCACAGCCGCTTATAAAATCATTACTCAGAGGCTTATATTAATTACAGATTGTATGGCCTATGGCTTCAGCTTTTGTTAGCTAGCTCTTTCATCTTAAATTAACCCATTCCTATTAATCTATATGTTGTCACGTGGTCATGGCGTTACCAATCTGCTGGCGTCTTGTTGCTCCTTTCCTGGCAGGCTGGTATCTCTCTCCTCTCTACCCTTCTTCTCTCTATAATTCTGCTTGGATTTCCTGCCTGGCTGTAAGCTTTCTTGCCATAGGCCAAAACAGCTTTATTTATTTTCCAATGGGAGCTGCACATATTCACAGCATTCAGAAAGACATCCCACAGCACTCAAGACCAGAAACCCAGAACTTCTGCAAGGGATGCATTTCAATTTCAACATCCATTGTGTTAGGATTATATGGATATTGAGCAAGTCTTTTTGAACACTATTTTATACTATGTATTTCTCTCAACACTAAGATATAGCAGTAAACAGAGCATCAGTTTTTTCCTCTAATGCACTTCCCCTGAAGTTGGGATGATTGCAAATCAACACACAAGTGGTAGTGTGATGAGTGCTGTGTTGCGAGATGGAGCTGGTGGCTGTGCCAGCGACATCCATCCCGGTTGATTTCCAGTTTGACCAGAGGAAGCCCAACTGAGAAGCTGCCTGAGTGTGTTCTCATGTGAAGGCACAGGGTAAACCAGCCTACTGAAGATGAGAAATGCACCCAAACACATCAAACATGCATTTCTCTATAGGATATCCTATTTTGTCAGAATATAGACAGAATATAGATAAAGGGTTTAAAATTTTGGTGTCAGTGAAGCAAGCTATGCCTGTCTAGGGAAGAATTATACCAGGACAATAAAACAATTCGTGATCATTTTTCTGGCATGTTGGAGAGAGGCAGGAGCTATGCAGTTCTTAAAGATTAAGATTTCAGGAGCTGGAGTGACGACTCAGTGGTTAAGAGCACAGACTACTCTTGCCGAGGACTCAAGTTCAGTTCCCACCACCCATGTCAGGCGGTTCACAGTTGTTTGTAACTCAAGCTCCAGGGGTATTCGACATCTCTGGCCTCTGTGTGCACATGCCCACACACATAATCAATGATAAAATAAATAGAGAAAGAAAAACTTAAGACTGTTTTTTAAAGACTGAGTGGGAGGAATATTCATGGAAAATATTGGCTGCAGTATTTTCTTGTGTAATATCCTATTTTAGAATCAATCAAGTAGATTACATACATACATACATATTTATATACATGCATAAAACAAACATATTTATTATTTTAAACATTTTTAAAGATAAAAAAGAAGAAAAAAATTGAAGATGTATTTATTTTATTTTATGTATATGGATGTTTTGTCTATGTGTATGTCTGTTGTTTGTTTTTGAGACAGGGTCTCATGCAGTCCTGGCTAGACTAGAACTTATTAGGTAGCTGAGCTGAGCCTTGAACTCCTAATCTTCCTGCCTCTACAATGAGGTAGAGAGAAAATATTCCTTATGAATTAATCTTTATCCTTTGAAGTAAGACTTCAATAGTACTATTTCTGAGTATCATCTAGAATTAGAAGTACCCTCAAGAAAGTTATTTTTCAAAAAAAAAAAATGAGCAAGTTGGTAGACCTTTATCTTGCCTTCTAATCAGCAGAGAAAGCATGCTCTAAGACCTCCCATTCCTTCTTTCTTTCCTGCTTTCTTTCCATCTCCGCCTGTCTGTTATTGGGAATTGAACTCAGGTCTTTGTACACACTCTGTCACTGAACTACATTCTCAGCCCTAGAAAGTGTGTTTTACAATGTGCTCAGCAGCCAGGAGTGATGGCCATGCCTTTAATCACAGCACCTGAGAGGCAGAGGCAGGCAAATCTCTGAATTTGAGGCCATCCTGGTCTACAAAGTGAGTTCCAGGACAGCCAGGGTTACACAGAAACCCTGTCTCAAAAAATCAAAAACAACCAAACAAAATAAAACAAAACAACAAAAAACAATGTGCCCACATTGCTGTGGTGTCCCCGGGGTCTCCTGTAAATCTTGATCGGTCTCAGAGGAAGCCCTGAGGGTGGGGACCAAGAGCATGAGACAATGTCACCTGCAGTTCCGCAGGTGAGGATATCCCCTCCTGGGGTGCCCATCGGTCACCTCAGGTGTTGCACTCTGCAAGGCCTAGGGATTGACAGAATTGGAGCAACAAGGCAATGAAGAAATGAAAGACACACAGACAGAAGAGCTGGGGATCCAGTAGCTCATGGCCTCTGATGGAGATGTACCAATAGTGGCTGCAATGTGGAAATTCAGTGCCTTTCTTTATACATCTAACTAGATGAGGTGAGGTTAGTGTATACAGCTGAAGCAGGGCTAGTGTATACAGCTGAGGCAGGGGGCAGGTTTAGTTCATCTTGGCAGGAGGTCTCTGTACAGGAGCATTCTCTGCCTGTAAATATGAAGAGGAGGAAGTCACTGTGGACATTTTCTGCACACACTGTCTACATCCACATGCAGACCAGGGGAAGGCTTTGCAATTTCCTGAGTCTGACCCAGGGAAGGCTTTGGCATTCCTATGAGTCTGAGGCATTGTGGTCCTTGTCTTGACCACGCTTATGTCCTCAGCATACACACACTCAGGACTTCCTCAGCTCCTTACACTTTCTGGTGTGTTAGTTTGGGCATTAAGAAACAACTTTTTGGGCTGGAGAGATGGCTCAGCTGTTAAAGGCTAGGCTCACAACCAAAAATATAAGAAACTACTTTCCCCTAAGAACTCATCTTTCAGGTTTTGGGATCTGAGTGAGAAATTGAAGAAATTTCTCTAATTGTGGCTAGCATTCTGTAGTCCTAGGTTGAAATTCCAGTTGGCAGTTTTGTTTTTCTTAGTTACAGATGCCCTTCTCCCACACCTTCATTTCATGGAGTAGAAGTAAGGAGTGTTTAAATGGGAGAAAAGGAAGCGGGGTGTTGATGTTGGTAATTGAAACCTGTCAACTTAATAATGAAAATACTGAGCATCAACGCTGGGGATTCGGGCGGGCCTGTCACGGCACTGTGCGGTATTGATGTAGGGAGGATGTGAAGACGTGAGCCCTGGGCCCTGGGTGTGGGGAGAGTCATCTGGAGGCTGAGGACCACGAGTCCTGTCCTGACTGGGGAGGGGTTTGGGTTCCTGCTGTTGGTGTTTAGAAACTGGATGGCTTGGTTTGCTATCTCCTCATCTGTAAACTCCCCCAGGGCTGAGATGACGCACACACGGCACCACATTGAGCAACATGGTCACTGGTGTCCCTCAGCTCTCCCGGCTGCCAGGGGCACACAGTGGACAGCTCTGCTTAGGGTGTCTGAGGTACACGGACCAAGCAAGGGGAGGGCAGGCTTGGAGAGCTTGAAGGGGCAAAGAAAGCAGCAGCACACAGCTAAAGAGACGCGAACGGGCCTCATCCGAACCTGCCCGTCTTCAGTCTCCCGGCCAGGGGCAAGCGAGAATGTCGAGCATCCATGGGGGCTTCTTAGGATTGCAGTGGGTGGCTGTTCTGCCGTGGAGGCACAGGTCAGTCTTCAGAGTTCCTATCAGCAATGCCAGCACTCGGGAAGCAGGGGCGGGATCTTTGTGAGTTCAGACACAGACACACAGACACACACACACACACACACACACACACACACCCAAGTGGATCAGAGAAAAATCAGAGATGGGCGTGAGTGTAGTTTATTACAGAGCCCCTGTGTAGAGTGCATTATGCTTTGAATTCAAGTCCTCGCACAGCACAAAATAAATAAATAAATAAATAAATGGAGAGAAGATTAAACAAAAAGGTATATATAATACCTTGCTTCACAGAGAATCAGCACTCAGGAAGTACAAGAAGCCACTATAAAACACAAATCTGGACATACATTTAGAAGATATCCTAGTTAGATTAGTACTGCTGTGATAAACACCAGGACCAAAGCAACCCGGGGAGCAAAGGGTTTATTTCAGCTTGCATTGTATTTCATGAAGGGAAGTCAGGGCAGGAATTCGAGGCTGGAAGCAGAGACAGACCATGGAGAAATACTGCTTACTGGCTTGCTCCCCAGGCTCACGTTCAATTGTTTTTCTTATACCTCCCAACATTCCTTGCCCAGCATCCCACAGTTGGCTGGGTCCTCCTCTCCCACATCAACCAGTAGTCAAGAAAATGCCTCCAGAGACATGCCTCCAGACCAATTGGGTGGAGTCATGTTCTCAGTTAAGGTTCCCTCTTCTCAAATGAGTCTAGTTGACAATATATATCTGTGATTATATATTATATATATATATATATACTATATATATATACTATATATATATCACAGAATATAATACTGTCTATAGACAGTGTTCATTAAACCAATAGGATATAATTGCTAGGTTAGGAAAAGACAGATTCTCATTTTACTTAGAAATCCCAGGACTCTTCAGAACGTATACTCAACTACTGATGGCTATTAGTAATTTTAGGTATTTTTCTTTTCAGACAAACTAAGGAAAAAGCATATTGCAGGCTAATGGAATGTGCTTCCCAAATACCCTCTCACGTGCACTTATGAGTCCCTTCTACAAAACCTCTAGCCAGCCTTCGTTTCGCAGTCCACTTCATTTTTAGGATCTTGGAATGCTAGGGAGCAGGCTAGGCGCTGCCTGCTTTAGCATAGATAAGGCTAGAAGGGTAAGGTCTCTGGGCCTTGGTGCCTCACTTCAGAAACTACAGGGCGGGAGAGCTCTCCGAAGTCCTCTCCAAGGCCGAGTGCTGCAGCACCAGGACCTAGCAAGGGCCGGCTGTTTTAAGTCGGTGATGTTTGTTCTGTGGTTATTGAAACTGCTGGGTCCTAACCATCTGCAGGGACATCTCAGAGGTTTGTGGACATGGTTTTATCATCCATAAATGATGGCAGGTTTTATCATTCATAAAGTCCATCTCGCTTTGTAGGAGTAAAGGTGACATTACCAAGTACCAAATATTAAAAAACAAAACAAAACAAAAAAACCAGGATCAGTTCTCCTCTTTAAGGGGTAGCTAATGACAACAGTAGCAACTTTATTGTGAGAAGATGGTCAGGAAGTTGGGTTGCTGGATTTGGGTTTGGGAAATACAGAAGAAGGGGTGCTAAGAGTTTCTTCAGTGGGTGCTCTAGCATGAGACTATAGGGTTGACAGCTAAACACAAGCCCGAGGTAGGGGCTGCCTGCCATCCCAGTTTGGAACACACACTGTCAGGGCCCCTCGCTCTGGAAATTTCTAGCTCTCTAATACCTAGGTCCTCTGGTGACTCTTGCTTGGGTATGCTGGGCTGGCTGACTTTCTGCTGGCCATGTGATCTTTGTTTATTTTGACTAGTTGCAAAATTGTGTGTGTGCACAGGATGTCCTCATTGTCCAGTACATTCCTCCACTCCCTCTGGACCCAGTGTGGGGAGTTGCCTGCGACTGTGTCCTAAAGTATGTGCCTTTAAACTATTTGGCAGTATTCTATGGAACCTTTGGGGATTACAATCGCTGTCCAGCCTGCTCTCCTTCAGAACATATTATCAACAATATGATAATTTTTTTTTGAGCTAAGGATCGAACCCAGGTCCTTGTGCTTGCTAGGCAAGCGCTCTACCAAGGGTAGTATTTTTTTTTTTCTGTTTTGCTTTGTTCTGTTTCATTTTGAGACATGATCACACTCTTAGTCTAGCTGGCCTCGACTTATAGCAATCCTCCTGCCTCAGCCTCCCAAGTGCTGGGATTACAGATATGAACTGTAACGGCCAGCTCAACAATAGCGATATTATTAACATAGTATTTCTTCTAAGGAAGATGGTGATAATGGTCTTACTGGCACATCACCCATCCTGGGCCCTATATTAAGTGCTGAAAGGCTCACAAGAATACCATGGGTATTAGTGGTTCAGTTTCAGGTTGGAAAGGCTCAAGGAGTTAAGCTTCTTGCAGAGGTCCCATGGTCATTGAACAGTGGGGCAGGATTTGTGAGTACATTTGTCCCATTGGAAACATTTGTGTTTTAGTGATTGTATTCCTCTTTCCAACTTGTGCTTGAGTCCTAAACCCTTGGGTATGGAAAGGTGAAACACCTTGTAAATTTACTATTTTCCCTCCTTTCCCCTCTCCTTTCCCTCTCCTTTTCTCTTTCTTTCTTTCTTTCTTTCTTTCTTTCTTTCTTTCTTTCTTTCTTTCTTTCTTTCTTTCTTTCCTTCTTTCCTTCTTTCCTTCTTTCCTTCTTTCCTTCTTTCCTTCTTTCCTTCTTTC